TTTTCCACCCAGACTCACCTATCCACATCAACTCTTCACTTGAATCTCTGCAGCCATTCTGCAGTGGGCCAGGGCACAGACGTCTCAGGGTGCAAATGACACAACCAAGTGTTATCACACCTGCTTTGAGGCAGCAACGTAACCCTGTCGGTCTGTGCTTTTTAAAATTATTAATCGTGGAGGGGGGGGGGTTTAAAAACCACACACACTGACATGGTCCTACCTTGCAAAAAAAGAAAGAAAGAAACCAGCCCAGAGGAAGGGGATATTGCACCACACCCGAAAGTGAAGAAAAATAAAAAACCACAATGTCTCAGGATGGACCCACCCAAAGATCAGTTGACGGAGCCGTCAGAAAAACAACCCAACATCCACCTTTGGGTGCAACAGCCTTCCTTCTTTTGCTTTTTGTCAAGCTCAGCTAGTTCTTAACCCAGTGGGGGTTGGATGGAGGAAAGTGGGGGGACGTTGAACCCCTAAAGGGTAGGATCTGGGCCCAGTTGTGGAAGGATACATTTAGAACCCTTTAGTGGTTTGAGCATTGGACTAGCACTCTGGAGTTGTTGTTGTGTGTCTCCAAGTCATTTCTGATGTATGGTGGCCCTAGCATAGGGTTTTCTTGGCAAGTTTTGTTTTGCTAATCAGTGGGTTTCCATGGCTGAGCAGTGATTCGAACCCTGGTCTCCACAGCCATAGACCAACGCTGAAACCACAACACCTCACTGGCTCTCTGACACTTTAACCTCCAATAAGGGAGGCTCCAACACCCTCTGAGGCAGATGTGGCTCGACTACAGCTCCCATCATCCCCACCAGAGCTGTGAGGAGTTGATGGGCATTGGGAGTCTAAGGTCACCCAGTGATTTTTTCTGGGTTTTTCAGGCTGTGTGGCCATGTTCTAGAAGAGTTTCTAGAGTTTCTAGGCCACACAGCCCAAAAAACCCACAAAAAACTATGGATGCCGGCCATGGAAGCCTACGACTTCACGTCACCCAGTGAATTTCCATCACTGAGTGGGGATTCAAATCCTGGTCTCCAACGCTCACACTGCGACACCATGCTGGCTCCGAGGCCAGAGTTCAATTCCCCATTCAGCCATGGAAACCCACTGGTGACTTTGGGTGAGTCACACACTCTCAGCCCCAGAAAACCCTATGATCGGTTTGCCTTAGGAATTGTCCTGGAGCGTGAATCGGGACTCGTGATTCACCCCTTTTGGCCCCATGCATCATTTAAACAGGGCAGGAACATTTCTTTTCTTCTGTTAGACAGTTTCAAAAAAAGAAAATGCTTCCCTGATCTCTATGACGGAGACACAGAGCTGGCTAGCCATGCAAAGCGAGAGGTTTATCGTGGCCTCGAGAAGCTCTAGAGGAAGACCATACAGAGAGGAGGGAAAGAAATCAGCCAAAGTCCCTAGAAGTTGAGAGTCCTGCGAAGCCATTGCCTCTTCCTCCAAGGGCCCTCAGTCGCAAGTGGAGGTCATCATATCGCAAAGGCAGCAGCAGCAGAGGGCTGCAAGGCAGCCTTGTAAGCAAGAATTCAAAAAGGACTCCTCTCTCCTCCGTTCCTCCCTGACGTACACCACAGGTCCGGGCCCATAGCCATATGCCGGGACCCCAGGGTACGAGGGGTAGCCTTGGTATCCGTAGGAAGGGTAACCTTGGTAAGGTCCATAGGAGTAGCCTGGATATGGCGGAGGTCCCATTGGTGGAGGGGGCCTTGCACCAGGGCCAGGAAAGGGCGGCGGAACAGCGGAATTCATGTTTTGATGTTCACATCACTCGTTCTTGGCTGTAGCTCTCTTTAGCTGCGTCTCTTCCGCAACAGCTTCTTGGTCCTTCCGCTCTTTCTTGTCCGGGTCACTTTTGCAATGGCTGCTCTTTTCGGTCCTTCTTGTCTGTGTCTGTTCCGCAACAGCTACTCTGTCCTTCGGCTCCTTTGTATATGTGTGTCTTCCGCAATGGCTGCACCTTCCTTCTTCACGCTCTTGGGTTTGTCTCTCTTCCGCAACAGTTACTCTGTCCTTCCACTCATTCTTGTCTGTGGAATAGTTCGACACTGGTTGCTCTTTTCTTTTGCTTCTGCAACGGTTTCTCCTTTCTATTGCTTCTGCAACGGTTGCTCCTTTCTTTTGCTTCTTCTTGTCTGTGTCTTCCACAACGGCTGCGTCTTTCTTCCACTCGTTCTTGTCTTCGCTCTTCTGCAATGGCTACTCTGTCCTCCTGCTCATATTTATCTGTGTGTCTTCCACAATGGCTGCCCCTTCCTTCCACACTTTCTTGGCTCTGCTTCTCTTCCAAAACAAGCTCCTTTCTTCCGCTTGTTCTTGTCTGTATCTTCCACGATGGCTGTGGGTTTTTTTTTCCACTCGTTGTCTGTATCACTTCCGCCAAAGCTATCCCATCCTTCCACTCATCATTATTTGTGTGTCTTCTGCAACGGATGCCTCTTCTTTCCACTCATCCTTGTCTGTGTCGCTTCTGCAATGGCTGCTCCTTTCTTCTCTTTGTTCTCCGTGTTGCTTCTGCAATGGCTGCTCCTGTCTTCCACTCGTTCTTGGCTCTTTCTCCTCTGCAACGGCTGCTCTTTCCTTCCACACCTGGTTTCCGTCTCTTCCACACCAGCTGTGCCTTCCTTCTGCTCCTACAGACGAATCAGCGGATGAAAAACATTTTATTTTATTTTTTATTTAAACTGAAAATGTTTCATTCCAAAGAGGCTCCGGCAATGGTGGGAATGCCGGGGCCAAGCTTTATCAAAAAGAGAAAGACGCAAAATGGTGACTGAGCAAATAGGGACTAGGGAGAATTATAGTATGACCCTTGTTTCCACCTGCGGTTTCATTTACCCACATCCGAAAAAATATAGTACCTCTAGGCATCTGTAGGCCCTCCAGCGCAACTCTTTATGGTCAATTTCCAGCTGAATTTGATCATAGAGTTGCACTGGAGGATCTCCAGATGCCCAGAGAGAACACCTCCATAGACATCTAAAGGACACCTCTTGTAAGAAGGGACACTTGTCAAACTAACTGCAACTCCTAGCCTCAGCCAGCATAGTCAATGGTGAAGCATGCTGGGAGTTGCAGTCCAATAACATACGGAGGGTCACATGGCTTCACCTCTGACTTTCCTTCCAGGGATCCTTGTTCTCAACCCAACCACTGAGTAGACCCATTGAATCAATGGGAACTTGGTAAACCAACACTCATGGCAAAATTTGTCAATGACAGAATCCCAGTCTTTGTAGATATTGATCAGACCTGCCCCCAAAGACAGCTTCTTGTTTGTTGTGTGCCTTCAAGTCATTTCCGACTTATGCCGACCCTATGGCAAACCTATCATGGTTTTTTTCTTGCCAAGATTTACTCAGAGGAGGTTTACCATTGCCTTCCCCCGAGGCTGAGAGAGTGTGACTTGCCCAAGGTCACCCAATAGGTTTCTATGGCCGAACTAGGAATCAAACCCCGGTCTCCAGAGTCACAGTCCAACACTCACACCACTACACCACGCTGGAATGGTTACTCACAATGAAATACTGAGAGGGGTCGAAATACTGAGAGGAAAGAAAAAGTCACTTGGTAGAATTGGAAAACACAGAAGAAAAGGACTGGTTCTTAATCTCTGCCCCTTCAAGGCAGCAGTGATCAGCTGCAAGTAGCTCATCTTTCCTTACCTGTCTTTTTGTGACATCATCTCAGCCTGTATCTGGAGACCTGAGGGGATAGGACAGCTCACTTAAAAGGCAATGGTGACCAGTGTCCCATGTCAGTGGGGTGAGGAATCCACTCCGGGTTTTGGCTAGCTTTAAAGGTGCTGGAGCTATTCAGGGCACCTAACAGAACTCCTTTAAAGCCTGCATTAAGACCTGGAGTGGATTTAAGGTCCTCCTGACATGGCATCCACCTATTGCCAGTGTTTTACCTTTGAACTACTTTGAGGATTGAGCCAGCATGATGTAGTGGTTTGAGTGTTGGACTAAGACTCCAGAATACCAGGGTTCAAATCCCCGCTCAGTCATAGAAATCTGCTGGGTGGCCCTGGCCAAGTCACACTCTCTCAGCCTTAGGGAAAGGCAAGGGCAAACCTCCTCTGAACAACTCTTGCCAAGAAAACCCCACAATAGGTTTGTTGCAGAGTTGCCATAAGTCTAAAGACATCTACAGAATTTGGTTTTGTGATACAGGCTGCATCTGCACTGCAGAAATAATCCAGTTTGACACCACTTTAACTGCCATGGTCCCATCCTATGGAATCCTGGGATTTGTAGTTTGTTGTGGCCCCAGAGCTCTCTGACAGAAAGGCTAAATAAGACAAAACTACAAGTCCTCTAGAATTCCATAGCATTGAGCTATGGCAGCTAAAGTGGTCTCAAAGTGGATTATTTCTGCAGTGTGGATGCACTCACCCTAGTATGGCTACTTCTTTTAAAACTACTCTGATTTTTTAAAGAGATTTTAAATGGAACTTTTAAAGATAACCTATGATGCTTTAAACGTTTAAAAGGATATCGGTTTACAACCAAATCACCAGCATCTGACGGTTAGAAACCACAAATGTGTGACTTGTAAAAAATCTGCCTGCGGATGGATTATTATCGGTCATCTCTCCAGTTTCCGGCCAAAATAACCAAGACAAAAGAGTCACTTCTTGGAAGGATGTGGGGCCAGGGTCACCCAATGTCCTCACTTCAAAATGTAGGACATTCATGAAAAAATGGGGGACACTCTCAACTAAATGCTAAAAACACTCACAGCAATGTAAATTCCTGCTTTTTAGTCATGCTCGAAAATAGAGGACATTTTGGAATTCCATCCCAGACAGAAGGTTGAAAGAGTGGACCTGATGCTGTCCTGGAAAAGGAGGACCTCTGGCCACTTTGGCCCTGGAAAAGGAGGACTGTAGCATTTTAATGCTCACTTTACACCTTTTTAATTGTATCCTTTTAAATTGTAACCCCTTTTGAGTCCTGTTTTTTGGGGGGACAACGAGATACAACCTGCCCTCCATATCCACAGATTCCTTATCTACAGATTCAACCATCCACAGCTTGAATATATATATATATATATATATATATATATATAATCCAAAAAAGCAAACCTTGATTTTGCTATTTTATATAAGGGACATCATTTTACCATGCCATTGTTTTTAATGGGTTTCAAGCATCCACAGGTTTTGGTATCCATAAAAGATCCTGGAACCAAACCCCAGTGGATACCAAGGGCCCACTGTAATAATAATAATAATAATAATAATAATAATAATAATAATAATAATAATACCCCACTGTACTTAATGGCACTTGAACATCCATGGATTTTGATATCCACAGGGGGTCCGGGAACCAAACCCCAGCAGATATTAATAAATAAATAAATATAATAATAAATGATAATAATTCTTCTTGTCTCCCGTCCCATCTGAACCTGACATCACGGAGTTCATGATTTCTTAGCATTGCCTCCAGTGTGCTTTCCAAGAAACGAGTACCATTTTATCATCATTTCAAATGTCAGAGATGGCAGATAATGGATGGCCATGTAACATGGTAATCCAACATTTTGGCCCAGTGTATAAAAGATGAAGCCGAACATAGAATCATAGAGTTGGAAGAGACCACAAGGGCCATCCAGTCCAAGAAGAAGACCAACAGACCAAGAAGAAGTTCGATCTGATTTTGGGAGCCCAAGAGAAAGAGTGGAAATGGAGCGTGGCATCATCTTTGCTCTCTTTGCTCTCCTCTCTGCCCAGCTCATCTTGGCTGGTGAGTACAAACTTTGGAGTTTTATCACACGGGACAAATCCCGTGGAGAAACTAGATTTAAAGTAAAAACAACCTGCTTTTGCGAGTTGTTTTTCAGATGACGTTTGCGTGAAAGAGAAATAACGCGAAAACAACCCGAACGGAAAGCCAACAAAACCCGCTCCTTTTTACTTTCGGGATCTTCCAGAATTAAAAAGGAGTGGGTTTAGGCGACTTTCCGTTCAGGTTAATGTTGCGTTATTTCTCCTTTACACAAATAGGTCTGAAAAACAACCCACTTTTTGGATTTTTAAATCCCGTCTCTGCACGGGATTTAAGTAATTTGCCTCTGTGTGATAAGGTCCTTTGTTTAATCTCACTTCGAAAGCGACCATATACAACAGGGGTAGGCAACCTTTTTGAGCTGGGGGCTGGGTTGCTGTCCCTCAGACAATTGGGGGGCCGAAGCACCAAAAATTAATTAATTAATTAATTAATTAAAATTAAATTTTTTAAAAAATATATGCATGCATACTCTCTCAGCCCTAGAAAAGCCATGGCAAAACCCCAAGAACAAGTAATAACAACAATATCATCATGGCGGGCGGCGGTGCAGGGATTCGGCGGCGGTGGTGGCAGGACTGACTTGGGGCTGGTCCAAAGGCCTCGGGGGGCTGCATCCGGACCCCAGGCCTTAGGTTGCCTACCCCTGATATAGAAGATCCATTTGGACTGGGCATGGTTTGGTATCCAACCCTCAGGTTGGAATTCATGGTCGTAGTTATGAACACGTAATCTCAAGTCATGCATTTGTGGACGGCTTGTCTTCACAATCCTGGGTTCAGATCCCGGCTCGACTATATAAACCCGCTGGGTGACCCTGGGCAAGTCACTCGCAGACTTAGGAGAAGGCAATGAACAAATCTTGGCAAGAAAAGCCTATGATAGGTTCATGGCATTTGGGTCGCCATAAGTCGCAAATGACTTGAAGGCACACAATGCCAACAACAATGCCCATAAGGGATTTTAACCAAGATGAATTCATCAGAAAAACATGGTTGAGTACACTGGATATGTAATATAGCTGCAAGCAAACCATATGCAATGAATTTATGTTTCTTTTTTAGCTCTTCGTTGTCATGTCCTACATTGTTCTTGAGTGTCCTGAGCTTTGCTGTGCCTTGTCCTCTTTTGCAGTTAGGACGTCTGGTCACCCTGAGCCTCCAAAAGTTGCCCATCCCATCATGCATATAAAAAGTCCTTAAAGAACAGACTGGATGTTGTACTGTTTTAAAGCATACTGTTTAAAACATTTTTAAAACTGTATTTTATTCTTTTAACAAGTGATCTGTTTTAATATTGGAATAATTTGTTTTGATTTCAATGCATCACTTTTGTATGTTTTTAATTTTTCTGCTCTTTTAAACTGTAAGCTGCTCTGAGTTCCAGTTCTGGAGAGAAAGCAGGATACTAATAATAATACTAATACTACTACTAATAATACGGTAATAAATTTGAAGAAGCTCACCATATTGCTGAACCTATTTAGAGACACAGATCTACATCTCAGAAATCTCTGTGAAAGTTCTGACCGAAACCTGGAACAGATTTGCTAACATATTCACCCTCATTGGCCACTGCTGGCAAAACAAGAGGGGTGCCATCTTGGTTTTAGCCTCAGGCAGGACAGTATATTGAGCTGGACCTTTTGGTTAACAAACCAGATTGAGAATACAACAACACTTTACCACAGCAAGTTCAGATTCAAAACATATAATGTAAGGAATGTAAGGAGCCATTAGGTTCAGGAAAAGTCTACTTCGAAGAGCAGGTCCTGGATGTAAACTAGAAGAAGAAAATAATGATTTTTGTTCTCTGCTGAGGAAAAGTCATGACCTGCCTACCAATTCCTAGTTGGACCTCTGGATGTAATTGATGAAACATGTTGTTTTGTAGTTGGAGGAGGGAGGGAAGCCCCCTTTTTTCATGGAATTATAGAGTGGGAAGGAATCCTGAGGGCCACCTAATCCAACCCCTAGCCATGCAGGAATACAAAGTCACAAGAGATGGCAACCAAATTCTGTTTAAAGACCTCCATCACCCTCTGAGGCAGTCTTTTCCCTGATCAAACTGGTCTTACAGAAATAGATATCCCAGGCTTAATTGCAGCTGCCTATTTCCTGATTAGGGAAGTCTGCCATCTAGTGACTATGAATGGTACTGCGGGCTGGAAACAGAATCGTAGATTCATAGCTTTAGAAGGAATTCTGAAGGCCATCTATTCAAACCCTCTACCATGCAGGAATTAACAGCTAAATTCCTTGCCTTGCAGGCAGCCTGCACCACCAGATTGTTGGTGGGCATGAAGCCAGGCCCCACTCGCGGCCGTACGCAGCAGCTCTGAAGGTAAATGGTCGGTTCGGCTGCGGAGGGTTCCTCATCGCTCCCCGCTGGGTGCTGACTGCTGCCCACTGCAATGGGTGAGTCATTCTATGGGCCAAGACTGGGGGAGACTCTTGGGAAGGAGGGGACTACTGGCCATGATCCATACAATGTAAGTAGAGTATACAGTTCCACAGCATACTTACATGGACTCCAGGCAACTGGGGAGTGAAAATGCAGGTACCTAGCTGCCGCCTCAACCTCCTCCTCCACTCCTTCTCCCCTTCCTGTTCTCTTTCTTGTGCTTTTCTCCTTCCTCTTCTCTTCCTTCTTGTTCTTTCCTCTTTTCTCCTCTTCCTTCACCTGCTTGTTCTTCTTTTCTCCTTCCTCTTTCCTTTCTCAATCTTCTTCTTTTCTCCCTCACCATCTTATTGTATTTCTTATATTCTCCATTACCTTTTTCTCATTCTTCTTCTTTTCTCCTCCTCCTTGTTCTTCTTTCATCCTTTACCATCCATCTCCTTTTCTTTTTCTCCTTATTTTACCTTCATCTTCCCTCATTGTTCTTCTTTTCTCCTTCTCCTTCACCTTTTTCTTGTTCTTCTTCATTTCTTGTACTTCTTGTTCATTTCTCCTGCTCCTTCATCTTCTCCATCTCTTTGTTCTTCTTCTTTACTCCTTCATCTTCTTCTCACTCTTCTTTTCTCCTCCTCCTCGTTCTTCTTTTCTCCTTCTTTAACCTTCATCATCTCCTTCTTATTTTCTCCTTTTCCTTCTTGTTCTTCCTTTCTCCTGCTCCTTCATCCTCACCTTCTCCTCCTTATTCTTCTTTTCTTCTTTACCATCATCTCCTCCTCTGTGTTCTTCTTTTACCTTTCTCCTTCACTGT